TGGAATGGTGACACCGAGGTTGGGCTGATGTTTGTGGGAAAGATGAATACAATGACAGCACAGGTGCTTACAGGGGCTAAGTGTGCACACAGCACCGATTTTAATACTTTCATGCCTTTCAAAGATATCGTGAGAATGATGTTTCTCAGCCCTACCCCACAAGCAAGTACAGGCCAGGGAAAGACCACTTCACCTGCCTGAGGCTACAGGAAGGGGCAGCTGATCTCAATGCAGCCAGAAAGCCTGGCTTTACCACCCACATGCTCAACCGCTGTGCCTGGGACTGGTAAAGCTCTCTCCTAAAAGATGCAACACGTCTGACACTTAGTAAGAACACAGTAACAGCGAGATAGTACATGATGCTTTGCCTCCTCAGGCCTCTCCACACTATTGCCACAAATCCCTCAGCCTGCAGGACACAGGCACCCCGGTCTCCTTGTTGAACATCCAATCCTCACAGCAGAGCAGAACACAAGGGTTTTGAGAACAAAAGCTGCCCCATGCCAGGAAGTCACTGCGAGAGGTTGAACGAGCGCCTCTGGACCATTTTCCCCCTTCATCACGCCCATGCTCCAGGTGGAGGAATCCCTTAGATCCCTCACCACTCTGTGTTCTCTATGTTCAACAGACAACTGGCCACCCACAAGACCCACACCAGCTGTGGACTCCAGACACAGAGAAACGAAGCTTCACGTGAGTACACTTCTTCATTTGCAAGCGTGTGAATTATTGCTCCAGCTCAGGTAAACATGTCTTTTCGGATGACAGAGCTAAGCCAAACCCTATGCTTGATGGAGGGTTAGGAAGGCAAATAAGGGAGGATCCCCTGTGGGAAGGTCGTCATGAGGATGGCAGCCCAGCTGCCCTCCCCTGTGGACGCGAAGGGAGCACAGTAAGCTGCTCCCCGTGTAGCGACCTGCAGAGTGCTGGCACGTTGCGAGTTCCAAAGAAGATGGCACCAACAGCAGCTGAGGTCTTGTTTTGAGGAATACTTACCTGGGGCCATTTCGCAAATACCGAAAGGCAGGTAACCTGGCTGCTCACGCCCCTGCCTCCTCAGGTGAATCAAAGCAAGGTATGCCAGTGCTCGGGGCTCTTTGTCTACCCCAGGCAAGGAACCCCTACTCATCTTTTAAAATCATCTCAGGGTCTTTAGTCTCTGCTTGCCCCGTCCAGGTAGGCTGATTTTCTGCAACTCTGCTCTAGTGTAAGAGGCAAGCAGGGGTCACGACTACAGACTACCCGGGAGCACTTCCAGCGCTGTAAGATAGGCACGGAGAGCTAAGGAAAAGACACGCACAGGCTACCAATCTCCATGGGAGTCACAGGAAGGACAACGGAGCAACATTTAAATTGTTTTATACGTCATACAGGATTTTGGGCAATGTAGCCCAAGCCAGGGGAAGACTGCGAGGCGTACAAGTACACAGACATCTGGAATGACAGATCAACAAGGAATCTTTTCTGCTTGGGAGAGGAGGAGCCTCAGCAGAAAGACAGCTGGCTACTGAAGGGCCTCGCTAGCCCTGAGGAGGATGGTGGAGGCTCTTCTGGACCAGATAAAAAGCAATGTCTTCAAGGAAGATCAGGCTTGTGTCAGCAGCGCGACTCCGCAGCAGCCATGGAGCCCTGATGGATGGAGCGGACGCCCTGACAATTGGAGTGTCTGGGGATCACTGTCACGCAGTGAGCACCACATCCGTCCTCTGGGCGTGGCTGCAGTGCTCTCGCCTCCTGCTGCCAGGCCCTCAGGCCTGAGGGGTTCCAAATCCCTGCTCCTGTCATACCCAGCAGCTTCACCTCAGATTCTTGGGCCCCGCCAGCACTCACGCACATGGGGGGCTCACTCTATGGTAAACATGATCATCAAAACATCTTTTCTAAATAAAGCCAGCAGGGGGCCTGGCCCTAGCTCAGTCCTTTAAGTGGCTGCTTCCACAAAGCTGTCAGCCTCAGGTTGCTGGAGTTCAAACCTCACAACTCTCCCACTGGCCAAAAGTGCCCTGAAGGCATTCGAGGAACCAAAAAATAAATAAATAAATAAATAAATAAATAAATAAATAAATCCAGCAGTTTGCTAAGAGGAATGCTTTCAGTCCTTCACCAGCTGTTAAAAGTTATGCAAAATTTTAAGAATCTCACCACACCGTATGAGTCACCTGCAATATCTGCAACACTCTAAATACTTTATGGAAATTACCTGTGAGACATAATTGTGCCTGCGAAGCACCAGGAAGCATTCTCACCACACAGCAGCAACTCCACACCAAGGGAAATAACTACAGGACACTTCATGAAACTTGTTTTTAAAAAAGTTTATTTGTTACAAAATGTTAAAAACTAAAGCTAAAAATGTATAAATTCAGGTCAGGTCAGGCTCTATTAAAATACTCACATGCCCTTCTTTGCAAAATCATTACAGATTGAATTAAACAGATGCTTTAAATAAAATAAAATACTCTGAGGACATCTGTGTCCAATTAGCTAGAGTAGTGTAGTGTAGTTTGTAAAATTATAATCAGAAAGTTTAGCGACTGTGGAAATAAAATCTATCCAATTTCCTCTCCTTTGCTACTACCCAAAGCGAGGCCACCATGCGGTGTGGACCGGCTGAACTTCAGTTGCAATACCAAAAGTTCACTATTACAGACCTCGGATTCCGGAAGAGGGAACAGAGTAGCCAGAAGTATACAAAGGGTTAAACAGCAGGGACACGTGGCCCAGAAAGACAAGGCCTTAGCTTGAAGATGCAGTCGCCTCTCTAATTAATGTGATTGGGAAATACATTAAAGCAGAGATCACCAAAAAGCCCACCTCCATCTAGAAATCATTGTTTAACTGGAAAATTCTCCTTGACACCTAAGATAGGTTTCCCTTTCCCTAAAATAGTTTCTGTTAAAATTTCTTATTTTAAATTGAGTGAATTCAAAGGTGTTAGAGTCTACACTCAACAAGTTCCATGCTAACTTGATCCTACTTTAATGAGCTCTGGAGGGCTGTGGCACGGCCAGCCGAGCCCCTCACCCAGGTGCTGACGAGCTTCCAAATGAATGCCCCGGATCAACACCGGAGTACCAGTGAGCTTCCAGACCCAATTCCCACTCAGGCCAAACAACCAAAAAGAACTAGCTACTCTCTATTTAAATATTAAATAGTTCTTTTCAAAAAAGTAACTTGTCTTGCAACTGGTATTTTTCCATTTTATAACTTTAACTGCTATAATTAATATGTAGAGATGAGAATGTGCTTATGAAATATGAAAGGCTACCACTGCATCTTTTTAATGTATTTAGTACAGGATCTACAGGGTCTCATTACACAGATCAGACTCATAATGATCCTCTGGTTTTCAGCCTCCCGAGTGCTGGGATTAAAGGCACGCACCACCACACCCAGTCTCAGTGGCCATCTCAGTGCTCCCTGGGGGTGAGGCCAGCACAGCATGCCAGGAATCGAACCCTGGTCCCTGCGCCTGCCTAAGCAGGAGCTTTCGTCTGCTGAGCTACCTGGCCAGCCCTTTGCATCTTAAAGTTCATAAATGTGAAGGCCTTTCTAGAATTTTGCTACATTATCTATTCTTTACAATGCTAATCCTAGTCAGATGGGATTGGCTAATAGTTGATTACTTAAGTGATTAAACACAAAAAATACAAAATGCATCCCAGTGATCTTCATTGACATAGTCCAATTGGAAGTTTCCCAGAAAATATTTATAAGGAAGGTTCTACTTTTTTCTGATAGTACTGGTACAGATATAAGGGCGAACTGCACGGAATCCTAATACTATGGTGTAAGACTGCTTGACCAAACATTTGAAAAGTTGGAAAATATATGTGCATTGTAAAATCACTGGAATTTAAAAGAAAAACATATTCCAATATTAAATTGTGGATGACAATAGTGTGAACAATAAATAGCTAGTAATCTCTTCTCCATCTTTGGGCTTATGAGCTCCTGATAGAATCATTTCTGTACACGTGCCCGATGAGAGAAACTAATCCTGTTCTCCACCACCCCAGGGCCATTTTCTCTCCACAGGACAGAGATTTATATCCTTTCTTTAACTTCCTGGGCAAGCTCAAGGGCTGAGACTCAAGCCACTCCACATCAGCCCTGCAGTCCTCGGAAAGCATTCAGGCAATTCAAACCACTGGCACACTAATGCTTAGCAAATATAATTTTTAAAAAGTTGCTGAGCCTTTAGAGCAAATTCTTCAGAAAGCATCCCTTCCTGTGTGCTGCTTTATAAATGTGCATTGAAATTAAGCTGGTCAGTCCCTCTTAGCAATACCGTGGCCTTACACAATGATCAAGAAAGTACGTATTCTCCAGAATAACTAGAGCCAGCACTGGGCTGTAAAGCTAATCCAACCCAGGTGATTCTCATGCTCCAAGGAGGGGGCAGCAGAGGCCCTAAGGGGGACAGACACCCCAACAGCAAAAGTCTCCACCGTCCTCCCCCATGCCCACAAGCTGCCCTAGACTCCCTGGACACCAGTGCCTCTTTTCAGCTCTCAGAGAGCATGAGGTCTGAGCAGAAAAACGTGGTGTTTTCCTGTCAGGAAATGCACATAATTTTAGGAGACCAGTGCAAAGGGAAAGCAGGGGCCCATCTTCAAACATGATTAAGAATTTCAGGACAGCCGCAGCCAGGCCCCGAAGTACTAGATGCCCTCCCAAGTGTGGTGCCCGTGTGACTGGAACAGCTAGGCCTGGCCAGGGTGCCCGCCGGTCAGAACCCAGAGAGGAGATGGAGCCGCAGCGGCATGATGCTGATTCAAACGCTGACACTAGTTTGGGACCAACTAATGCATCTCTCAAAATCCCAAATTTTTACTTCAAAAACTTCATGCCGGGGTGGTTAGTCTCTTCCCTTAAATTTCTCATTACAGAAATAGTTACAGAGGACCCTTCATTGCCCTTATTTTAATACAGCAACTAATCAGACATGATAAATTTCTGTATTCATCCTAGTTGATTGTTTGTTTTTTTTTTTTGAAAAATGTAAGCATTTCTTGACCAAAGCCAGAGAACATCTCAAAGGGAAAACAGCTGTACAACTGTTTCATATTCTAAAGCCTTAGTTTTAGTCTGTGTTATACTTTGTTCCCTTTGAAGAATACAGTTGTAGGTTTTCCAAAGAGAACAAACACATTAAGCTGAGTTGTTTTAAACATCCACACTGGCATTCGGTCATAAGAATTTCATAAATCCAGCAACACCCCATTCCTCCTAATAGTGAAAACGCGGATGGATATAAAAGCTCCGGGTCACATCACTAAGCAGCGACACTTCCGGGAGTGGATATACTTCCTGTATTCGGCAAGCTGCTTCAAGTACAAATTTGACGGCCATCTGTGCTTTTCAACGAAACTGCGTTCTTCCACTAAAATTCGAAGAAAAGGAATGTTAAATGAACGTATTTTATTTTAGATCGTTAAGATATTAACTGATTTTCTGCGTGACAGATGAAACCCAAGCTCTGTTATATTTCCCCTACCCTTCCTGGAAGGGTTCCAGAATGATCTAATACAATTTTGGCTAAACCAGTCCCCAGCACTTACGCTGTTACATGATTTACGATTACACGCATCTCGCTCGCCCAATGCTTTATCAAATAGTTTATTTCCCTTTGTTTTTTAATACAACTTTAATTTTTCCTGGAGATAACAGACTCATTGGTTTAGTTTTCTTTGCAGCTAACTCAGACTCCAAACTCTGTAAAGTCCTCCTGCCTGTGTTTCCAGCCCAGCAGTCGAGTCTACCCAACCCCATGGTGGCTACTGCCCTCCAGAGGTCTGCCTGCTCCTGCGCGCCCCACACTCCTGCCCATCTAGGCTTGCTGAAGCTTTCTGCTGAAGCTTCCAGGCCTGAGCTCTGGCTCCTTCACTTTATTCTTTAGTTTTGGGGAAACACAACCTTTGATAGCTTTCTGCAAAGGGTACCTGAAAAGTATTTCTGAGATCCTGTTGGTGATGAAATGTCTTCAGCTAGTCCTCACTCAGGACTGACAATTTGGTTTGGTGTACAATTCCAGACTGAAAACTCCCGTCAAAATCTTGAAGAGGGTACTCCACTGGAACTCCTAGTTTCCCAGGTAAAGAATTCCACTGCCATTCAGACTCACAGTCCTGGGTAGGTGTGAGTGTGTGTGTGTGTGTGTGTGTGTGTGTGCGCAGGCACGTGTGCTTAAATCCTGGAAACAGATTTTTCCATTTATACTTAGTGTTCAGACATGGACTGATGCACCTTGTTCATTTAGCTGCATGCGTAGCAAATCCTTTCAGGGTGCTGACTTGCATTCTCCAGGAGCGGCATAATTTGTGGCAGCATTTCTTTGGTAAGTTCCTCCGCTTGGTTTTCTATACGAACTTCTGCTATGTACTGCGTCTTCCCGACTGAGTTGCCAATTAAAGAAACCCAAACAAATAAATAAAAAAAGAAAACTGGCTCTCCCACATCTTTGCTCCTCTAAATTCTTTTTTTTTTCCTGCTGGTATTTGTTTCCCTTTTGGTGTCTATTTTTTGTGTCAGCAGTTGCTTCACTTTATCTTTGACTTCCGAGGGTCTTTTCATAGTTAAGAGCATGATGCTGAAGCGGTCTGGAAGCTTCTGAGGCATGGACAGGACACGCCTAGCAGGATTGAGCAGACACACCTGCCCACACGATGGCCACATGTGTCTTCCCTCAGGACCAGAGAGGCCGCTTCCACTTCATCCCCAAGGGACGTGAGCCAGGCTGGCAAGGGCCATCTGCCGGAATTCTCGAACCCAGATAGGGGAAGGAGGCTGCAGCCTTAGCGACACACACGCCCCTGAAATGCCACGCTCCAGTGGGGCTCTTCACCCCAATCTCAGCTACACCCAGACTCCATGATTCTGTAAGTTCCATATGAGTGATTTCTCCAGAAACAGACTTCTATCTCCTGTAAAGATGGGAATTACTCACTTGTGTGTGGAGGAGGCAGCCAAAGCTTCTTAATCAATATCCAACTAATTCCACCGTTTTCTTCTCCAGCTTCATCCTAGCCTCAGACACACCTAGCACCGTGAACATCTAAGACTTTTGGGGCTCAGGTGAAGAGGGGCTTTGCTCCCCTTCTGTGTGCACTGAGCGCTCTTCGTGCTAAGCCAGGTTTCACTCCTCTGGCTGTTTCGACCTCTTCCACTGGAATCTGGGTAAGTGAAACCTGACCCCAGATGCAGGGCCTGGATGAAAAGAGCCGGGTTGCTCAGGGGAACGTGTCCTTAGAGTGCCAGTGGACGCAAAGGTGACCGACATGATCCCTCAAACAGTGATCACAGATGAGTCTGGCAGCCAGCAAAAACAAAAACAACACAAAACCTCCCAACCATGTAATACATGACACACTATTGGGCTAAATTAAACTGTGAGGAAAATAAATCCACGGGCACCAAGGGTAACAAGCGCCTGTGTGTTGCTGGCCTCATGAAAATATCTATGTGACGAGCTACTGGACTGGGGTCTGAGGTATCCACGCCCACACAGATGTGAGCTCTTTTCCAGGCCCTCTGATTTCTAAACACTTCTAAAATCAAAAAAATTCTCAGTCAAAACAATGTGTAGAATTTCAATGATAACTTGATAACTTCTGATACTGAGAATGGCTAATCCTACAAGGCAGCTGTAAGGAAACTGTGACAAGAACACTTCGGAACTTCCGGTGACCATGTAAGGTAGGCCAGGTGTAAGGTAAGGCAAAGAGGAGGTGCCTGCGACACCCTGAAAAGGACACATGCCTTCCAGGGCTGGCCGCTGCCCGGTTCCTAGGCTGTGTGGCCAGGGTTACACAGGAAGTTGGCAGAGTGTCCGTGTCTCTCAGCTTTTCAAAAGAGGCCAGAGATCTAGGGTCTTAAAACAGCAATACAAGAAGTGATCAAACTACATAGGGAATATTTGATTTTTTAATAAAATTATTGTAGTAAATGACCCGTTGCCATTAATTCTCCTCAAAACATGTTCTCTTGCTTCACCCTTCCCCCATCACTGCCTCTTTCTGAAGCAGTTCCGGGAGTCCTCTTTCATGAGTGTCCTTACAAGTCTGACTGAATTTAATCTCATCATTTTTTCCTAAAATTTTGTTTTATTTAAAAAAAAATACAGTAAGTGCTGCTGCCAAGTACTATCCAGGGAAAGGCAGGCCCACAGATGCCTGAGCGTGTCCTCATCACCCTGTGTCAGACCAGGCACCATGTGACGGCTCGCGCTTGCCCAGAGTCAAAACGGCCACGAAAGGGAGACGATCTGAACTCGTTCAGGACATCCAGGCAGCCACAATGGCGCACACAGGACACTAGCGAGAGAGGGCTCCAGATCTGCTGCAGAAAGTGGCAAGAGCACGCGAGAAGTGTACCCAGAGCAGGGGAGGGTTCTGACAGGAAGTAATGGCAACGCATCTCTTACTGCAATAATTTTTTTAAAAAATTAAATATTTACCATATTTTTGATCATGCCTCATAATACCCTAAAAATAAACATTTAAAAATAAAGTTCACATAAACGTCCTTGACAGGCTACATCAAATCCACAGACTTCCGGTTTGTAACCACTGATTTGGAGAGTTCAGTCCTCCCTTCCGCAAGAGCTTTTTCTTCTCCTGAAGACCACACAGCAGAGCCTGCTGCCGGGTAAAGGCACCATGGCGACAGCTCTGAGGATGCCTCAATACCAGAGAACAGGGCCAAGTGCCGCTGCGGCCTCTGCCCCTAGCTCCGTCAGCTCCCGGCTCCTGGCAGCCCTCCTGCCACCATGCCACCCGGCCACCCCCAGCTTCACAGGCAACTGTAGATGTAATGAAATGTAACCCAAATTAGTAACCCAAGAGCATATGGAGCACCTTCCCCCCAGGTTGTAACAATACTCCACGCATGTCCCACGGCTCTACACAGTGTAAGCAGAGCATGATCTTACCCTTCTTTATAGCGAAGGTGACCTAAGTAGTATCGTGAAAATGGGTGTAAAATGCAGATATCTATTTCTCAAGGAATAACTATAGAAGAACGTTCCTGCTGAGACACCAGAAGCAGCCTTACCTTGATGAACAGACTTCATCTTTCCTTCAAAGAATAGTTAATAACACCCACCTGAACAGCTGAGCACTGGCCTACAGAGCGTCCCCGAGGACGCGATCCTTGCTGGATGGCGCAGTAGACCTGCTAAAAGGTGACTGTGTGCTTCTGTGTTTTCACAATGCTATGGGTGGCTGAGTGAAGAGACTTTCACATCTTTCACTAGCAGTCTTTTTTACTTGATAAAATTTTATGTAGAACTCTAAGACCTTCATGTATCTCGCTGGAAATTTATTTGGCCAGGGTTTGGAAGTACTGGCCAAGTTTCTTTCAAATTTCCTTGAGTCTATGGTGGATGACGAGAGCAAAGCGCCGTACCCGGGTGTCCTATGCGTCTGACTGCTACTCTATGGCTATGCTACTTTCATTTTCCTTCTGCTTCTACAGCCCTGGGAATCTCACCCTTTGGCTGCTTTTAATCTTTATAATTTACAAATACGATACATAGAATTCACAACAGCAAGTTTCATAATGAACAAAAAATTATTACTCCAAAGTAATATATGGGACACCTATGAGAGAAACTTACTAGATATAGACACCTAGTACAATAAAACTATATTTAATAGTAATTGAAATTTAAGTATTCTTGTTTTAATTTTGCTTCACATTTAGTGACAACCAAGATCTCATTTATCAAAACTAAATGCCACCTGAGGACACTTCTGGCCACTTTTTAATCTATTTTTTACAAATGCATTTAAAAATTGAATGGGAGTTATAAAATAATTATTAGAAAAGGTCTTGTGTGACACAGGTCGAGCTGCTTATGTAACACAGGTGACTATGAATTACAGTGTCTTTAATCACCTCACTGCATAATTTAAGAGATATGTATTACACTGAACATTACTGTGGTAAAGCCACAGCTTACAGGCTATAATCTCAAACCTAAGAACAAAGAACATAAAGTATTTCTCCCCCCTACCTGAAAGATCTTGAAATTCAGGCTTTTGACTGAAGATGAGGTAGTTGGTGGCAATGAAATGAAGCAGCCAGGTTGAAAGGCAGTCAGAGTGGTGGAACTGCAAGAGAAATGAAAAGGGAACCAACCCTGTCCATCACGGTCATCGGTAGGGTGACCGACGAGACACAATGGTCCAGCCAATACCAGAGCAGGTATCTATGTGCCTATGTACAACGCACCCCTCCAACTATTAGAGTTGCAGGAAGGAGATGGGAACATTGTCAATGAATACTAATACATATACTCATGAAAAAGCTGAATCAACAGCACACAACAAGCTCCGCCTGCCCCGTGGTAACAACCACTGGAGGCGCCTGAGGAATGCCTATAAACTTTAAGCTAAGATCATGGACCTCTTCACCAACTACACTTGTCGCGGAGGAAGATTATGGAAAGCAAGGCCTAACAGGCAAGTGCACTGCAGAAGCAAGTCAGAAAACACTCTGAGAAGAACGCGTCATCAGCCTGAGGGTGTCAACAGTTGTAGGAGGAAGATAGATATCTGGACAGCTGCTTTGGTGGGCTTCCTGTCACGCTGAGTGGACTTCCTGCGTGAGTCTTCTTCCAAGTTCCAGCAGGGACTGGGCAAGGGCAATGAAGACCAACTTGGCCACTGGCATCACAGCCCTGGTGCCACTCAGCGTCACCAGGCTGTCCAGCCCCCAACTGTGGGTAACAGTGACTGGCTGGTAGGCAACTTGCTCTGTGAATAGTTTTTCTTTACTACTATTATTACTGTGATGCAATAAGCATGGTATAAGACAGTGTAATTATCTATGGGTGCTCAAGTTTAGTGCATAGAAAATGTATGTAAGTCAGTAAACAGAGCCACTGTCCATTTCCAGAATTGTCCTGTCACCCCAAACTGAGTCTTTGGTACCTTTTAAACAGCATCTCCCCTAATTCCCTACCCGTAGGCCTTGGCAACCACTACCTTACCTTCTATCACTACAACTGCGACTACCCTAGACACTTACATAAGCACTGTCCTTTCTCTGGTTTATTTCTCTCAGCATGGTCTCCAAAGTCCTATCCATGTGACAGCACATACCAGAACCCTTCCTTTCAAGGCTCGCATTCCGCGGTCTGTCTTCACTACCTTTTGCCCATGCGCTTATCCTTAGATGAATGCCATTTTGGCTAAGTACAACTCTTAAGAAAACTCAAAAATGTTAGCCATGAGCAACACTAAACTGAAGAAAGAAGCTCCAGGATGGGCCTTTAAGAGAATCATAATGTGTGTCTTCACCAATTTATGTTCAGTATGAAAGCCAAAGTCTTGAGCTGGAAGGGAAGCTATAGTTCATCTAATCTCACATCACATTGTAACAATCTTTTCTTCTCTTATCTCTTAGACGAGGAGGAATATGCTCTCTCTGGAACAAAACACAACTGCAGCTACTTTAGCAGGGGCCTCACTATGAGATGACTAACCCGGAGCAGATAACCTACCACCAGACCCAGCCGTGGCCCGAGGGCTGTGGCTCTGAGAGAAGGGTGCTCGCTCACAGAGACACATGCAGAATGGCAAGACATACCTCAAAAGTAGAATTTTATTTTCCAGAGGATTTAAGACCTCACTATTACAAGCCCTTGGCAAGAGATGGACTGTATCTTCTCATAAATACATTAAAAATAAATTTAGGCTATGAAAACACTAGAAAAAAATGAAAAAAAAGAATTTTTAAACTGAATTTGAAAGACAGCTATTTATTTATCTCGAGCTCAATGTCAATATTGTTACCAACAGAGCTGAGGTTTACTTGATATTTAAATTTGTTCTTCGCCTTAATATTGAATACATATAATTTTAAGATGGCTGCAAGAGAAATGAAGCTCCAAAGAGCCAGGCAGTCAGGGCAAAAGGTGCAGACGCTTTAGAGGACTTCTCTTCAGTGAGCAGAAATATGTACACTGGTGGGCGCAAGCTGTAGGGCGGCAGAGTTCTGTCCTTTGCCCCATCGTGGGGCTCTGGCAACCTGCATGAAGACCTGTGAGAAAGATCTAGAGGGGTCAAGCATCTCCGGCAGTGAATGGAATGGCGAATAGCCACAGCACCGTGAAATGACGCACTGGGTGAGTCTTCTGCTCCCAGGATAAGAGAGGCAACTTTCTCTCTCTCTGTGTCTCTCTGTCTGTCTGTCTCTCTCTGTAGTAAGGATTGAACCCTGAGCCTTTGCATTGAGCTACATCCCCAAAGCCCCTTTTCCTTTTCAAATTTATTTTGAGACAGGTTCTCCCTAAACTGCCTAGGCAAGACCCTTACAATCTTCCTGCTTCAGCTGCCCAAAGTATGGGATTATAGGCGTGTCCCACCACACTGCGCTAACGACGACAGCCCAGGGCCGCATCTGAGGGTTTGAGATGATTTCAAGCAGTCGTCGTTTGTGTATAGACCTGGATCAGTTCTTTGTCACCTCTATTATATCCTAGGGTCTTTGTAGACAGTCACTCACAATTAATTTCTGTAAACGCCATCTGTTCCCTAAAATTAGCAGCAATGTTTTTTTTTTTTTTTTTTTAAATTAGTATTTGTTTGCAGGACATGCAGTTTAAAGTCATCTTGGGGTCTGGGTACTTGCACATAGCACAGCTTGGTTCTTCCCTTTTCTTTCTTCCTCCTCTTCTAAATCCTCTTTCCCCATATTTGTTCTTCCTGGTATGACTGACTTTATCTCATGCTGTGGCATGTAGTGTTCCCATTCCTGAGGCCCCTGTACAAGGAGCATCTTATCCTACTTAGCTCCCCTTCTGCTCTCCTCCCATCCATGTCTTCGTGGGCCCCTGCCCATTTGCAGGAGACCCACCCCTCATCTCCCCATCCATCCTTTATCATGCTGTTTGCACTTTGCCTTATGCAAATGACAGATACTACACGGTATTTGAGCTCAAGTGTCTAACTTACTTCACACATTGTATTTTCCGGGTGCATCTATTTTCCTATAAATGTCTCACATCCATCCTTCTGTGGCCAGATGGTGTTCCATTATGTATAGAAGCCAGTTTTTTGTTTTTTTTAATATCTAATCATTTGCTGAAGGACAGGCAAGCTGCATCCAGGATTTAACTGTTACGAATAGGGCTGCTATAAACACTGGCCTGCATGTACTGCAGTATCATAATGTCTTGAGCTCTTTGGCGAAGTTCCCTAGAAGATGAATAACTGGGTCACATGGAATTTCTAATTTCAGTTCTTTGAGGAATTGTATTTGTTGTACTAACCTACATTTTCACCGATAGGAGGGTTTCCCTCTCACCAGAGCCACACCAGCATGTGCTATTTTTTAATTTCATGGTGGTAGCCACTCTTTCTGGTATAAGATGAAATCTCACTATTGTTTTAATTTTCATTTTTCTAGTGGTTAGGAGGGGGCTGGGGAGATAGCTCAGTGGTCTAAACGCCTGTCTAGTGGTTAGGGATGTTGAACATTTTTTCATACATTTGTTGGCCATTTTCATTCGTTTCTCAGAGAAATATCTATTCATTTCACTTGTGCATGTCTTGATGGGGTTTAGGTGGTCTAATGGTTTTGAGTCCTTTAAATATTCTAGATATTAGTTTTTAAAAACAAGTCCCACCTTAGAAGAGGCCCAGAAGCACCAGGAGGATACTGAAGTGTTCCTCAATCTCCAACTTTTCAAAACTGTACTTGTAATTTGGTGAAATGTACCAGTGAAGGACATTTTGCAAGAATAAATGAAATACAGTAATAGCTCCTACAAATGCCAAGAACTTCAAGATATGCTCACAGAATGAATGAATGAAACAGCAAATCAGCTGAACGTAGTCACATGCCTCAGCATGGACGGACTACCTGCCACTTCCCTGCTGGGAACCCTGACATGTGATCCTTCAGGGAAATTCAGCATAAATTCTATTTCTTTTTTTTTTTGGTGGAACCGGGGATTGAACTCAGGCCCTTAGCTTGCCAGGGAAGCGCTTTTTCCACTGAGCCATCTCCCCGGCCCCTAAATTCTATTTCTTATAGTGCGCACATGACACAGTGTGGTGCACACGCAAGTGACTCTGCTAAGGGTCTCTGCTGGAAAAACCTTGTATCTCTATCACCTTCGAGGGGAACTCGGTAAAGCCCCTAAGGTTTTATTCAACAATAGCCAACGAAATTGTGGAGCCTCATTTAGCCAAATTTCCAGACTGAAAACCAGCATTAATATATGTTAGGCTTTCCTGCTCAGTAAACAGACAGGAAAGACAAAAGAGGCCTTTATTGCAGGCATAGGAAGACCACAGGAAAGGAGAGACGTGGAGCTTCCCTGTGCCTGTAGTAAAGGCCTCTTTTATCTTTTTGTCTCTTTACTGATCAAAAAAACCTAACACTATGTATCTTTCATTTTATTTTATTTCATTCTAGTACTGGGAATTGAACTTAGGGCTTTTGCACTGAGCTACATTTCCAGCCATGGTTTTATTTAAAAAAAAAATTTTTTTTTTTAAATCTGAGATAGGGTCTCCCTAGGTTGGTTCGTTGCCCAGGCTGGGCTCAAACTTGCAATCCCCTGCCTTTCTCTCAAAAAACAATGTATCAAAGGAACAGCACACATTTTTAATCACTGTTTTTGTATCGAAAGAGCCAGCCCCCCGCGGCCAATTACCTTGGCCTTCTTGAGCAGGTCCACGATGTCCAGGTTCATGGAGGCCAGCTCCCTGCTCGGCATGCTCTGCAGCTGCGTGACAATGAAGAGCTCGCAGATGTGCTGCAGCCGTGACACCTGGTACATCTCGGCACAGATCAGCAGACACATGGCCTGGAAAATGCCAGCTGCGAAGGGGGCACAGGAAAGGCAGACGGTAAAACCATGGCAGCCGTCATTATAGACAACTAGGTTAGGTAGGAATACTGTAGGCAGTCAGAAGGGCGGGGCCCTGGACAGGTCAATGCGGAAGGCGAAAGAAATAAGAACTATACATACCAGCAACTGATATTCTAAGTAGGCATCAAGCACCGGGGCGGGGGGCCGAACCTCCTTACGTACCCCTCCCAGGAGAGTCCTTGTCCACCCCACGCACACTTACTATGGAACTTGTTTCTCCATTTGATCCCCATTAATCAATATTGCCCTTTCAACTATATTTGTTGTGCTCTTATTGGCTGACCTTAGTTTTGTCCCGCCTTACACCCAGTCTGTAGTTTGCCATTGGTTCAATGTTACCTAAGCGACTATACTTACAATCTTATTGGTTGGTTATAGTTTCATCAGCCTGCCTCACCTTGTGGCTTTGCCTGACAGATACACTCTTGAGAAGCAGGTTGGTGGGCAAACCACTTTCCAGGCTCCCTGCTGTCCCTCTCAAATAGAAACTTTCTTTCCCTTAATTCTTCCTTAATATTTGGAAGAACATCTAGCAGGTTGCGAGTTTCATTCTCCTATATCAGTATGACCTAAACACACACACACATGCACACACGCACGCACGAAAACTACATGATGGTATGACCCCACGTAGACTAAAGCCTTGAGGCTGGCAGCAGTCTGTACTGTGACTCTTTTACTCTTTTATTGGGGAGATGGGGGTGAGTCAAGGTCTCGCCATGTAGTTCAGGCTGGCCTTGAAGTCACTATGTAGCCCAGGCTGGCCTCAAACTTGCGGTGATCCTCCTGCCTCAGCCTCACCTGTTTTGGGATTATAGGCGTGCACCACAAAAAAGTCCATTTAAACCTGAATCCCAAGAAGAGAAACTGTTTTTAAAAAATTCTCCAGAGAAGTTATTCTCTACCTATCCTTAATAGCGTCAATCCAGAGCTCTCAGGTAAATCTTAATGTTAGTTAAATCATTGCAACTTTTCTTCTTTGGTGCCCAGGCTTGGTTTTGTTTTCATCATGGCAGAATAAATATAACATAAAATTAACCATTTTCAGAAATGATGGGCACTCTACCACTGAGCTAACCCAGCCTTTTTTTTTTTTTCTTTTGAGACATGGTCTCACTAAATTGCCGAGGTAGGCCTTAACTTAAGATCTTCCTGCCTCAGCCTCCCAAAGAGCTGGGATTACAAGTTGGCACCACTGTGCCCAACTTCATTTTAATTATTTTTACATTTACAGTTGAGTGTCATGAAGCACCTTCACTTTGATAAGCACCCACCACTGCCACCCATCTCGAGAACTTTTTTTCATCTTGTCAAACTAAAACTCTAGACCACTGATGATAAGCCTTCTAGAACTTTCCATAATTTCCATAACCAACAGCCTGCTACAGCAAGGAGTTCACTGGTTCACCACAGAGCATACACCCTTACATAATCCCCCACGCTTCCTTTCCTCCCAGCTCAGGCAACCACCTACAGTTCTTCTTTTTTTCAAACACTTAAGAGAAGTCTGCCTTTTCAAGTGGTCCTTTCTTCCGCCTCCCCAAATGCCTTGCATTCCTTTGTAGCACTGGTACCAAGAATACTGGCTATGGCAAAGTTAATAGAACTAACATTCCCTAACTTTCCCAATGCACACATTCTACTATTGGTCTTAGCTCTTCAATTCTTCATCTTCATTTTTTCCATTATACTTTTAAACCAATTTTTAAAGTGCTCTGTTCTGTTTATTGCTTTCCTAAGCACTTTCTCCTAATTAAGAAGGTAAAACCAAAAAGCAAAGTTCAGTTAATCAAATGAGATGATTGAAAAATAAAATTTTCTTATTATTTCAAATCTGCTTGATTTTTTTACTTAATATACAAATTTATGTATATTATAGTAAACAATTAATTTATTTCCACTTTATTTTTGCTAAGTGAAAGAGAAAAGCTAATCCTTAACACTGACAGTAACATCTGGTTCCAAAATATGGCCAGCTGCAAAACCAAAATTAGTTCAGTTTTAAAAAGGAGGATCGGCCAAATAGCGCAGCGGATTAAAGCAGGCACAGGGGCTGGGGTTTCAATCCCCGGGCCTGCTGTGCCGGCCCCACCCCTGGGGCCCGCTGAATCGGCAATTGAGACTGGCCATGGTGGCACGCGCCTATAATCCCAGTTTTAAAAAGGAATATTCTTTTTAGGAACTTTAAAAACCTTTCACTACTTATTTCAGTAAAGAAATCTTCCCAGTTGAAAAATTAAAGCAGTGAATCTGAAGAGAGGCATGAACTAAAATGTATGTTTTCTTCTTATATTTGCTAGGTGTGGGCCAGGCTTTGTGACAAGGTCTCAGGCCTGGGCCTAGGGAGGACAGCTACACAGGACATAGTCTTGCAGTGTTTGAGACCAGAGCCACCTGGTGGCCTAAGGGCGAAGAATAATACAAGGGCTTTTCATGCCTGCATCACAAGGCTTTATGCCTATTGCAAGGCTCTGCTACTTCTCCAGGGAACCTTCAGCTAAAGAAAATTTGCAGTATCTGTTCAAGCTGTAGCTACGACTGATGGGTGGTTCCTGGTCAAAGACAATCTTCTGTTAGTGAATGTGGAAATAAATCCACAAGTTTTCAGAAGTTAGAATAATAACAATCTGACTTTACAAGTCAGAAGGGGCCTTTGAACATCCCGTATCCTCTGACCGAAGGAAACATGGGCATATCCGCACATAGAAAGCCCTAAAAATGCCTCAGTCAGAGCTCAGACATAAGAGCAGTTATCCAACCCTGGGGAAGAGAGAAGGATCTTGTGCTCCAGAAGCCCTCCACCTCAAGCTCCAGAATTAGCCAGGGGTGCCCAAAGCACCTCCCTGTTCAGGTGCCCACAGGGATCGCACGCTGGTGCTGGATGGGACATGAAGTCCTACGTATGCTTGAGTCTGAGAGCCCACAAAACGCTGTCCATCACTGTCCTTGAGCTGACTGAAACTTACTGCCCCAACACCACCTCCAGGTGTTTAGCACGTGCCGTGATGTCAACTCTGATAGAAGTTACAGGAAAGCAGATTTTTACAGGAAGGAACTTATCACAGTGAGCATTAATAATAGAAAGAACTGTGAGACATTACACAGAATACTACTCACCTGGGCAACAGGAGTCTGTGTACAGGTATTCTAAAAAGGACAGGAAAGTCTCCTTGGAAACGCCATAAACTGGAATCAGGACACTCTTTGCTTCCATGTAATTGCCATTAAACATGGCCGCCATCACCTCACAACGGGCCACCAGGATGGCCCTGTGGGCCGGCACTGTTGTACCTGAAGGTGCAAAAGGGAGACAAAGACAAGTAACGTAGCCTTGCAGAGCGACGATGCTGACAGTGCCCTAGAGTGGTACTGTGTTAGGTGTAGCTCAGCTCATAAAACCCAATTTTCTAGTGGTGACCAACATCACTCTATGGGCCGGAGAAATAGCTCAGTAGAATAAGTACTTGCCTGGCAATCATAGGTCCTGAATTCAATCCCTGGTACCGCAAAAAAAAAAAAAAAAAGTTTTCCAACATCACTTTAGAGATTCCTCAGTTTTAAGTTGAACAATAGAGTTCAGAAGTTGACTCTGAATCTAACAATTTGCAAATCAAGCAGCTATGTGGTTTTTGGGTTTTTCCCCCCATTTTATGTATTTGGTACAGGGTCTCACTATGCAGCTCAGACTCGTAGTGATCCTCCTCTTTTCAGCCTCTCCAGCACCGGCATTACAGGCGTGCGCCATCATGACCAGACTCATTCGCCGCTCAGCGCCCCCCAGGGCACTGCATGCAGGACCAAAGATCAAACCCTGGTCCCTGAGCTTTCCAAAGCAGGCACTTAGTCCGCTGAGCTATCTTGCTGGCCCAGGCAGCCATGTGTTTTTAACTTATATTTCTTGAAGGCAGAAACACTGAAATTGTACATTTTGGTTTATGTTTTAAATGAAACACCTCTCCTTTCTAACTGGCTTGAAATACCACCACCGCTTCCCATGTTCCTCCAAAGAATGGTCTTGGCCAGGGTGGTCTACATCTATGATGCTCCTCAAAGCTCCATGTAGTCACTGGCAGGGCGTTTGGAAGGTGACAATTATGGGGCGCGGAGCTGACTTGTTTGGGGCAGTCTGGCCACAGTGGCATGGCCAGGGGCGGGGGGACGCACCTCTCCTCCTTACTGCCCTGGTTCCTTTGCTTTCTGGCTGTCCCAATGTGAGCAGCTTTTCTCTGCCCAGAACTTTCTACTATGACTGCCTGCCTTGGAGCTGGCCTAGTACGCACCAAGAGCAGGAGCCAAAAACAAACCTTTCCTCTTTTTAATGAGTGGGTGTCACATACTGGGTCCCAAGAATGAGAAAGTGACAGAAAGACCACAACCAGGGAACTGTACGGAGCAAAGCAGAGCAGTCCATGTCTCGCCTCACAGGAGAAACGGCGAGAAAGCTCTTGTGCGCTGAGCAGGGAGCCTCTCACATCTGAGGAAAGAGTGGAAGCTGGTGACCCTGCTGCCCCACACCCTGTGGCTCTAGAAAACTCACTCTCTTCCACATGAAAATGTCCTCTTCTGGGAGAGCCAGCCCTCTGAACCGTCAAGGTGCCCTAGCTCCATACCCCAAACTGAAGCTCACTGAACTAAACTGACTCTCCCGGGAAAGCGAAGTTCCTCAGCCACTGCACCACCATGCAAAGAAGTGCCAGGCGGGGACACAGGTGGCCAGGGACCTGCGAGGTTGGGAAGCCGCTGTTGCCTAAGCAGACCACATGGTCAGCCATGCCACGTCAGCCTATATCTGGGCCACAGACGTCATCAAGCAATCACCGCGTGCAGATTGCGGGGCTGGGAATCAAAGGTACAAAGAGTAGGACTCCAACTCGACTCTTGCTTTGGAACAGGACCCCCCCAGAAGAGTGAACGCTGTCCCCTCCCTGAAGGTGACTTAGGCAGGTGAAGCCCTCTTCTCTGTGCATGGATTTGCCTCCATGTCCCTAAATCTCGAGCATATTGGCTATACGGTCTCCCCTAAAATATTTATAATTATTGCATTTTCTATCTCTTTCAAACCCAAGCAAAACCCTCTTGGTTCAGGGAAGAAGAGGTCCTTTACTGCACCTAAGCCTGGTGGTGCTCACCAAGGCTGACGATCCTTCACGACTCAAAAGCAGCCCCTGACACGGGCAGCAGCGCCCAGTGCCGTGATGTGCACAGCCATGTGGCCCAGAAGGCCAGAAAGCAGCCTGGAGGAGCACCCGCCCTCCCACAGACGGCCCCCAGCAGCAGGCACCCCCTTGTCTGCACACCTCCTGGCCTCCTGCTGCAACGCAGGCCGCCCACCGAGAGGAGAGCAGCTAACAAGGAATTCAAACAGGTCATGCAATGTGACCTTTAACATTAAGGTTTTAAATAGTCAAGATAAATAGGGTATTACTTTAAAAAAGAAACGGAAAAAATGGAAAGTGAAGATTAAATGAACCAGGTGATCCACTGTGTCAGGTACACAGTAGGTGGAAGCGGAATTTGATAAGCAGACCTTGGCATTGTATCAGATGCTCTGTCGGAGCTATATCACAACAGCATTACAAACCCACAACCAAACACTCACTACCCTGAGGCACTTTTAGGCCCATGTTCAGCAGAGAATTTCACCCGGAAGACCATTATACTTCCCGCTAGGGAGACAGCAGCTTTGTTACTTAGCTTTTTAATATTTTAGAGTTATAATTGTTTTTAAATTTATGTATTTGGTACAGGGTCTCACTACGCAGCTCGGGCTCATAGTGACCCTCCTGTTTTGAGCCTGTCCAGTGCTGGGATTACAGGCGTGCACCACCACGGCCAGGCGTGGTGGCCGGCTCAGCACGCCAGGGGCAGGGCCAGCGCAGCATGTGGTGTCGGGGATTGAACCCTGGTCCCTGCGCTCGCCTAAGCAGGTGCTTAGTACGCTGAGCTATCTCGCAGCCCTCGAGTTATAAACTGTGCTGTGAAAGGTAATGCAATAGTCCCAGCATAGTTATGCACTATAATACTGCAAATAAAAATACCTGCTGAAAGAACATAAACCACTGCTTCAGCAAACTAGCAACAGGATATTTAGGGGGAAAGGACACCAATTTTCTAGTTAAAACATAAATATATACCATGAAATTGTTAAAGCCAAACTACTTTTTCTTTGTAGTATTCAGACGATGCTTTAAGAATATTTTCTTAGGAAAATAACACGAAGAGTGAAACAAAACACCAAAGCCCAAATTTTTTGGGTCACTGTACATAAATTCACATATTAAAACAAAACCCTTGCATTTGTCATGCCCTTTTCATATACAGTCCAGGTTTCAAAAGTGAAGTTTATATAATTACATCTGATTTCATTCAGATGTAATTCTAAAGGATACGTATTTGGGCACAGTGCAGATGGTTTGAGGTCCCTCAGATTGATTCAGGAGGGCAGCAAGGCCTAAAGGGAGTGACCACACACGCTTTGAGAGAGATTTAGGGAACAGTCACTACGTAAGGTAACAGGAAAAGAATGCTATAAAAGAACTCTTCGTGTGACACAGATTCAAAGACAAGAAACTCTTATCTTTCTACATCATACCTGAACATTTACCAAGGCTTACTTTAGGAGTGTACTGCTATAGTAACTTTTTGTCTTTTTTCTTTTTTGGCAGAAGTGAGGATTGAACACAGGCCCTTGTGCTTGCCAGGCAAGTGCTTATTCTACTGAGCCATCTCCATGGGCCCTATAGTAACTTTTTGTGAAAAAACAAACTGACAGTGAAAATCTACATATGTGAGGGCCTGCTGCTATTACAGAGACAGTCCCCTACCCTAGGGCTTTTACATTCCGGCTGGTTGTCGTTGGTGACCTGGAACATTCTACAGGAAAAAGTGCAGGAACCTGCGGGGTCCACTGCCCCCACAGGGCAGGGGCACGGCTGCCAGTCAGGTATTGCTCGTCCTCTGCACCGACCATCTCTGCCTTGTCACCACGGACCCAGCAGAAAAGGGAATCCCTATATTATAGGTGAGGAAACAGATGCTCCCCATTATGAATGGGAAATTTCTGTTACAGTGTCAAGATTACTTATCAAAGTCCATGTATATCTGCTATCCACCTGGTGTTTCTGGTCAGTCTTAGAGGGTCAACAGGGAAGTGACACAGCCACATCTATAGGGGAGTATGTGCACACCCAAGCGAAGGTCCCCGCTGGTCTTTCTGGCCTCATCGCCTACCAGGGGTCCACTCTGCTCCAAGCTGTCCAAAGCCCTGTTCTCCCCTTCCTGTGCTCTAGCCTCGTATGAAGTAAAGGCGCATTTATGCTCAAAACCAGAGTGAAGAAGTCCAAGAGTGTTTACTGTTACTGTATGAAGAGAAAAAATTATACTTACATTAACTATTTGATTTAAAATTCTTTCTTGTTACTTCACATAAATTTATACTAAGGATACCAAAGTAAATGAGAATTGTTTCACAAATATGAATCTTTCAGAATGTTTAATTATAAATATTCTATGCAAAGTATATACTGAAAAAATTGAAAATTTAAAACTTCACTATGACTTTATAAAATTTATAATTAAGATTTGAGATGAGTTATTACCCAGGCATTGCTGTGAAGATCTGACTTAAGTCAAAGAACAATAATTTAAAATATAAGAACAAACAGAAAGATAGTCCTTGCTTGTGGATAAGAAGAACCAACACTGTGATAATGGCCATACTCACAAAACTTAATACAGATTCAATATAATACCAATTAAAATACTACTAGTATACCTTATAGATCTAGAGAAAACATTCCTAAAATTTGTCATATCTCATCTCTACAGAGTTCTGCTAGAATCAAGGAACCTACCACACTACTACATTACACATGCTACACCAACAATAAATAGCAGGCTGGGTGTAGTGGCGCATGCCTGTAATCCCAGCACTCAGGAGGCTGAGGCAGGAGGATCACTGAGTTCAAACTATAAAATGAGTTCGAGGTCATCCTAAACTGCGTAGCAAAACCCTGTCTCACAAATAATAATAACAAACTGGCATAGAAATTTCTTGATATCAAAAGGTTCAAGAATAGATTTGGCTTTCAACTTACATAATCTGGGCTTTCGTTTGTAAATTGGAATATTAAAAAA